AGATGGCTTTTAAAATGTCTGGAAACTCCTGGAAATGTGAGAAGTCATCTTTCTCTTTGAAAAGACCATCTTCTTGTGGTTCAGATGTGGGCTTTTGAAACTGAAACTATTAACACGCCTGTGGCTATAGGGTGGAGTCTGTTCTCCCTTTTCCCCTATTGGGGTGCACATGAAGGCTCTCAAATTCTTGACTAATGCTTGCGTTTTGATAAGCAGAGCTCTAAGATAGCATGAAGCTATTGAAGAAGGTCCTTGCTTTCTTCAGATCCCTCTAGAAAAACTGGTTTTCTCAAACTCATTACAGTCATTCAAAGCATCTATACATAAGTCTGCTTGTGCTGTCTTGGAAATAAGCTACAACAACAACAAAAATCTCAGGAGGGTACGTAAGTGGGTTGAAAGGTGGCAGGGCAGAAAAAGTTTATATAGATATAGGTTTTATATCTAAGATGAACTCTGAAATACTATAAATTAAGCATCATCTGAAATTGTTCCCTGAAGTCAGCTCAAATGTAGATTATTATCCATTGTAGGTACTGAATTACCTGTTGTTTTTAAAAGATTTATTTGTTTATTATTTGAGAGAGCAAGTGAGCAGGGAGAGGGGCAGGGGAAGAGACTCTCCAGTAGCTTCCCCACGGAGTGTGGAGCCTGTTGCAGGGCTCGATCTCTCGACCCCATGACCATGATCTGAGCAGAAATCCAGAGTCAGCCGCTCAACTGACCGAGCCACCCAGGCGCCCCAATATTGAATTGTCTTGAAACTGGATGTGCCGCAATGGTCAAGAAAGTTAAAAAAGATAAGCCCCTTCATTCGCCCTGGGCAACAAGACAAAACAAAACAGAAGACCAGGGCCTATCTGCACTTGGAATATGGTGTATTGCTTAACTTGCTTAACTTCAAGAAAAGTCTAATGAGACAGGAGCCAGTCAAGAGAACAGCTGAAATAATCAAAATTGGGGCTTCCACATCCCTTCCACAAAGAGCTACTTAAATCGCAGAATTCTGCAGTGTAAACAGAAGGATGATGCTATGGCTGCACCATGTCCACCGAAAGCGAAGCCCTCACCCTCAGCACCTCCGAATGTGACTGCATTTGGAGAGAGGGACTTTAGAGAGGTGATGAAGTTAAAATGGGAGTCCTGAGGGTGAGCTCTAATCCAACGTGACTAGTGTTCTTATAAGGGATACAGATATACAGGAAGAGACAGATGTCAGACGTGTGCGCACGCATGGCATCCGCCATGGTAGGACACCGGGAGTAGGCAACCAGCTACACGCTAGAGAGAGAGGGGCCTCAGGAGAAGACAACCCTGTGGACCACTTAGAGCCTCCAGAGAGAGTGTGGCCTCCAGAGAGAGTGTGGCCCTGCCGACACCTTGATCTCAAACTTCCGGCCTCCAGAACTGTGAAACAGTAAATTTCTGTTTTTTAAGCCACCCAGTCTGTGGTACATTGTTATAGCAGCCAAAGCTGACTAATACAGATGAGAACACATATGATCAAGTAATTTAAAATTAGGAAGGGTCTGGGAAAGATAATGTGATTAGCTCAGGATACCTCTAGGTCAGGTTTTCTTAAAGTCTGTATACTACTCGCATCAGAATTACCTATGATATTTTCTAAAAAGCAGGCTGGCTCCCAGGCCCCTGTGGGAGTACTGAAGTGTTTTGGTATGAGGCCCAAGAATCCATCTTTTCAATAGACATCCCAAGTGGTGTTCTGCAGGCTAATGTCTGAGATGCACTGCGAAAGGTCCTGCTCAACCTCCGGCCCTTTTTTGGGCCTGGCTGGTACTAATTACATCTCAGCAAGTGCTGGTGTATCTGGTGCTCTGGCGGATGCTCACTAATCCAGGAACCAGGTATAAATCCCATTGTATGTTCTAAGTGTCAGCCAGTGTTTACCAACATGTGGGAAATCCTGAAGGGGATAGATTAAATAGAATCCAGGTGCCTTACCTGTCTTACTTGCTCAAAAATCTAATGATATATAAAGAAGAACTCAACACCAAGAAAACAAGCAATCCAATTAAAAAATGGACAGGGGACATAAATAGGTACTTTTCCAAAAAAGACATACAGATGGCCAACAGATACATTAAAAGATGCTCAACATCTGAATAAGCAGGGAAAGTCAAATCAAAACAACAATGAGATATCACCCCACACCTGTCAGAATGTCTAAAATATAATAAGTGTTGGCGAGGATGTGGAGAAAAAGGGACCCTCATGTATTGTTGATAGGAATGCAAGCTGGTACAGCCACTGTGGAAAACAGTTCCTCAAAAAACTAAAAATAGAACTACCATATGATCCAGTAATTCCACTACTGGTATTTACCCAAAGAAAACAAAGACACTAATTCAAAAAGATATGTGCATGCCCATGTTTATTGCAGCATTGTTTACAATAGCCAAGATGTGGAAACAACCTAAGAGTCCATTTCCATCCACAGATGAATGGATAAAGAGGATGTGAGGGATATATATATATATATATATATATATATAAATATATTATTCAGCCTTAAAAGAATAAAATCTCACCATTCACAACAACATGGATGGATCTAGAGGGTATAATGTTAAGTGAAATACATCAGAGAAAGAAAAATACAATATGATTTCACTCATATGTGGAATTTAGGAAACAAACCAAAGGAACAACAACAAAAAAGATATAAACCAAGAAACAGACTCTTAACTACAGAGAACAAATTGGTGGTTCCTGGGGGGAGGATGGGTGAAATAGGGGAAGGGGATTAAGAACACATTTATTGTGATGAGTAATGTACAGAATTGTTGAATCATTATATTGTGCATCTGTAACTAATGTAATGCTTTCTGTTAACTATACTTGAATTTAAAAAAGAGAATATGGGATCCCTGGGTGGCGCAGCGGTTTGGCGCCTGCCTTTGGCCCACGGCGCGATCCTGGAGACCCGGGATCGAATCCCACGTCGGGCTCCCGGTGCATGGAGCCTGCTTCTCCCTCTGCCTGTGTCTCTGCCTCTCTCTCTCTGTATGACTATCGTAAATAAAAAAAAAATAAAAAAAAATAAAAAAGAGAATATGATGGCATATTTTGAACAATATACTGCATATACCATTTGCCTCATGAGATTTATTTAAAGATGCTACATGTAGGTATCTAAATTCTCAGAGAAAATACAGAGGACTAGAAAGGGCATATCTAACTTTTCTACTGCTAGTTCTGGGAATGGAAAGTTGTAAGAGGGCCTGCGCCTTTATACGCCCTACACAGTTAAAATATATTAGCAAAGGAGATAAATAACATCTATAAATAAAGACAAATGGAAGGGAATCTAATCAATCGTTTCAGCCAGAGCCCGGGCTGAAACATCGCCAGAGGGAATGGGAATAGAAAGTCTTCTTTCTTATGGCATAAAGGTGAATTCTCTTTCTTCCACCTGTGGACCCACGAGAGAATTAAAGAGAGACAAAGAGAAATAGTTGAGAGTCTACAGCAAACGCGGTAACGAGTATCTTCAAAATAGGCAGGATAGGTGGCATTCTGATTTAGACGTTGTTAGTTCACTAGGAACATGTAAAAACTGCTCCCGACCCCTATTTAAAAATTTAATTAAGGGATATAAGATTTTAAGGTTTTTTTTTTTTTTAAGAAGTGAAATTTAGGTAGGCCGCTTGAGAATGTTCAGGTGGCCAGGTCGCTGGGTTACTGGTCCCCGCTCCTTCCTGCCGCCCAGCATCTGAAACAGAATGCAACCCCCGTGCTCCCGGAGTGCCCGGAGTGCCCCCCGGGGCTGCCCAGGGAGGGGTACCTGGGGCCACCAGGCTTTGAGCACCCAAGGGCAGGCCCTGCCTAAGGGTTTTCCTTCCTTGATGAACTACATTTCAGTGTCTCTGTGTAGACCACCCCATTCCCATTGGATTCGGGTTTTTTCTTTTTTTTGGGGGGGGGGTGTTTTGTTTTTTTCCTTTAGGGGGAATGGGGGTGGGGACACGGATGGGGAATTGGGAGTTGTCCCTAATGTGCTGGGTGCTCTCCAGAAACCAGAATTCCGGCTCTTAAAATGAATTGATCTTAAACTCTCGACCTGAATGCCCCGGGGAGGCGGAGAAGCCGAGCGCGCAACTGGGCCTCGTTAGGGGGGGAAAGAGCACCTCAGGCCCTCCCCGAGACCGCTTCCCAGCCGGGGGCCCAAGCGGTCAGCCGCAGGCGGGGGCGCCCCAACAATGCGAGCCGGCGGGGCGGGGGGGGGGCTGAGAGGGGCTCCCGCCCGGCCCGCGGCGCCCCCCGCCTGGAGCAGGGCCCGTTGCCCTTCCCCAGGCCCGGCCCGGCCGCCGGCTCCCCGGGACCCGGGCTCGGCGAGGTCCCGCCGGCCTAGGGCCCGGCTGCCCCAAGGGCCCGCCCCGCGGACGCGCGGGGTCGGGGTCGGGGTCGGGGTCGGGGCCGCGGCGGCGGCGGCGGCGGCCGCGGAGCCTTCATTAGGGGGCGCTCTGGGGGCGGCCCCGCCGCCGCGTCGGCTCCCGCCGCGTCCTCCCGCCGCCGCGCCGCGCCGCGCCACCCGGAGAGCGAACGCCGCCCGGGCCGGGGAGCGAGGGTGGGCGCCGCAGCCGCAGCGGGAGCGGGAGCGGGAGCGGGAGCGGGCCCGGGCCGCGCCGCCGCCTCCTTCCGCCGGCCCCGCCGCCGGCCATGCATTCTTCCGGCGCCTCCGGCTCCCGCAGCCCGGGCCGGGGCCCGGCCAGCCTGAGGTAACCGCGGCTCGGCGGGCGCGGGGCTGCGGCGGCGCGGGGCCCGGAGCGGCGCGGAGGGGGCGGGGACCGGCTGTCGTCGTCGTCGCCGTCGTCGTCGTCGTGCGGCCCGGGGCGGCGGCGGCGGCGGCGGCGGCATGAGGGACGAGGGCGCGGTAGGCCCCGAGGAGGAGGCGGGGGCGCGGGGCATCCGCCCGCCTCCCCGGACCCGCCCCGGTGACAGGTCCGGCCTCTGAGTCCCCACCGTCCCTCTGTCCGCAGGCAGCCGCGAGGGGAGTAGGGCGCCCGCGCGCCTCAGCCTCGGCCGCCGCCGCCGCCGCCGCCGCCGCGTCCATGCCCGCGACCCCTCGGCCGGGGACACCTGCCGCCGCCCGCCGTCCGCGCCCGCTGAGGTGAGCCGGGCGCCCCCGCCGTCCCCGCCGCGCCCCCTCCCCCGCTCGGGGACCCCATTCTCCTCCTCCTTGCGGCTCCTTGCGGCCCCGGCGCCCTCCGCTCCCCTCCCCTCCCCTCCCCTCCCCTCCCCCGGCCCCGCCGTCCTTCCTCCTCTCGCCGTGTTAGCCCCCACTTTCTTCCTCTTACCTTTCGGCCCTCTTGTCTAGGCCCCTCTCCTTTTTTTTTTTTTCTTTTTTTTTTTTTTTTTTTTTTTGAAAAAAAGAGGGTGTCGGTGGTGGCGAACAACCCCCCCGCGTCTATGCCGCCAGCGAACCCTGTTAGCGTAACTCCGGCTGCTCAGCGAGGGACCCGCGTGAGGCTCGGCGGCCGTGAGGCAGGGGGGAGGCGGCGCGGGACCCGGGTTCCCCCCGGCGGCCGGGGCGTCCGAAGCCAGCGGGCCGGCTCGCCTCCCCCTAGGTCCACGCAGCAGGACTGCGGCGAGGCGCGGCTCGTCAGCGAGCGGGAGTAGTATTATCAGCTGCTGAATATATTATGACATCCCCTGTGCGGGGGGGGGGGGGGCGAGCGGCTCCCTTGACCTTGCGCGGCGCCTCCCCCCTCGCCGCCGGCCCCCCTCGGGGATCTCCCCGGGTTGCTCTCGCCGAGGTACCCGCTACCCCAGCAAAGCGGAGCCCCTCGGTCTTCCGCGCGCGCGTGTGTGTGTGTGTGCGCGCGTGTGTGTGCGCTGGAGGCGTTTTCGGTGTTGGGGACTGTTTGGAGGTGTGGATCCCTTTTTAAGTGGATTTTCCTCTCGCCGCAGAAAGACAGGACGGCCGCCCATGTGAGCATGGCTGTGACTTTGGAAGAAGCGCCGTGGCTGGGCTGGATCGTGGCGAAAGCCCTGGTGAGGTTCGCCTTCATGGTCGCCAACAACCTGGTTGCTATTTCATCCTACGTCTGCTATGTGGTCGTACTTCAGCCCCTGCGACTGCTGGACAGTAAGCGGTTCTGGTATATTGAAGGAATCATGTATAAATGGCTTTTAGGAATGGTGGCTTCTTGGGGATGGTATGCTGGATACACAGGTAAGAAGAGTGTGAGCACTTGTGTTTAACGCGCGTGGTGAACCCATTTGGAATTGTTATGCTTAAGTCAGGAGCCATGATTAGATGTGTGTTACACTTTAGGGGTTGAAGATGCTTTGGTGCCTTGGCTCTTAAAACAAAACAAAAATTAGATAGAAAACGATTCTATTGAGTTTTGGTGTTTTTGTCCCCCCCCCCCCCGCACCCCCACCCCAAATTCCGATTTAGGAAGGATGATAGTTTGAGATGTATGATTTCATAGTGATATATGATGAATTTCTTAAATCATTATGTTTTGAATGTGCTTGGCATTTATCAGAACCCGCCTGCCAAAACTCACCCAGAGAGGAATAGGGGTGGGTTATACAAGACTTTGAGGGCTTATAAAATGAAATAACGTATCTAGCTCATAAATGCGTTAGGAATTTAGAGGAAGCACTGAGCCTTATTTGTGCTAAGGTAGTTCAGTAAGTTTTTTCATTTAATGTAGTATTGGACTGTGTTAATGTTTTGAGCCAAGCAAAAACATGGCTTTCTTTTTCTGTTACGTATGTTTCTTTTGTTTACCAGAATCTATATTTTAATCTCATGAATCTGTGTTAGACTAATAAATATAAGAGTTATGAGTTATGTTTTATCTGTCTTAAACCTGATTTATATTCTGAGTGTCTCTAAGTAGATTTATACTTCTACCATTAAATTGCATTTTGGGGAGCAGGAATAATGATATTCTGAAGCGGACTTTTAAAGAACTAAATAAGAAGTAGTGTTTATTTTTTATTTTCTGTTCATAAGCCTTATTTATGTTCTTTGAGAACTTGGGCCTCTGCTGTGAGAATTCTTGAAAATTCTGTGTTGCTTATTACATTTATTTGGCTTTTTTTTTCCCCTAAGAATTAGGATGATGAAAAAAAAAAAGCATTGAAGTTTCTAGCACTTGTCTTAGACATTGAGGCTTTTATCACAGAATTGTATAATTGATAGCTTCCTTAAGAGATCATGTCGCAGATGCTGCAGTCAGTGGAGTCTGGAGTTCATAGCTTGGAAGAGTGAGGAGGGCACGAGGGTACTCTCAGGGTCAAACAGCATGGCAGTTCCCCATTTTAAATTCTCTGTCTCCTTCTTTCCTGACCAGGTTGCATCTGCAGATTTTATCCATACACACAAGAGAAAAGGACTGACAACACATAGCTTTTATGGAGTCTGACAGACTCTTGCTAGGTCAGAGTGCTCTTGGTTGCCCCAGATGAAGCATTTTTTTCCTTCTCGCAAAGCTATTTATTATTCTGCAAGACCTAGAGCTCCCAGAATAGTGTATGCTTTGCATCCTTGTCTGGGTCTCATTGAGATCCTGATGCTCTTTGGATACAGTAGGTGAACTTCTAGTCCTTTTTTAGGACCTTGTGGTGGTAGTAGTAGTGGTAGAGAGAGAAAAAAAATGAAGTTCTCATCTCTGATGCTGAATTCTTACCTGAGTTATGCTGCTGTCTTAGAATTGCTTTGCCCTGTATAGTTTAAGCATCACCAAATATGGTATGTGGTACTAGTGACTTTGCTCTGCATGTAATATGCTTCTTTGCTGGTTTTTAATGAACTCACGGTATTTTTAGATAAAGTTCGAGAAGTTCATTCTTACTTAAACACGATGAAATTAGTGAAACGTTTGTGTGTGGTTTCTTTGCGTATATGTGCTAGCATGATGGGCAGTTGAAAAACATTTGGTATTGACCTTGAGATCACACTGAGTGCAGTGGTGCTGCTTGAAGTGAAAGTTATCCTTTGGCCACGGCATGGCCGCAGTGCATTTCTGAGTATATTTTCTTGTGTTGTCTTTTCTCTTCTTGACTGTGGAACTGCAGAGTTTCTTTTGCCACCTGCTTGGAAAGTGGTCTTGGCGTGATCCACGTATTTTAGCCTTTCTGAAGCATCTGTTCTCTTCAGGCTACTGCACTCTGACCATTTAAATAGAGACTGTTTTCATGTTTATGTTTTAAATGGTTTTCCTATAGGTGAAATACTTTGAGAGGGTCTGATCATAAGGGAATGCAGTCAAGAGGTCAAACAAGTGTAGGAATGACTTTCCTGGAAAGCCACAGCTGGGTTAAAGAAACACCACAAGCAGGGACTGATGAGCAGATGTACCCACCAAAGAGTCTAGATTATTTTAGCCTTTGTCTGGATTACATATTCCATTTCTTCCCTTTGTATCAAGAGGAAGGTGGATTTCAGATTTTTCCTTCCCCTGTGCTAAAGTTTCACAGATGGAAGGTTGAATGTTGCCAAAGGAATTCTGCTCAGCAGATTTGGGATGTTCATGCTTTGGAATAAAAATTGCCAAACTTTGTTGAAAGGCACTTCTGAGGAAAACTTAAATATTAATTAATTAAATGTTAATTGGGAAGCTGAAAATTGAATATTGGTATTAAATGTCATTTTTTCAAATTGTGACATTTAGTCTAAGACAAGTCAGTCAGCCAGCTCTGCTGCTCACGTTGACTATCTAACCGACACAAACCCACATGGTAGGTCCTTAGCCGAATGGGGCTATTTAAATTTAAACTGATTAAAGTGAAATAAAATTTAAATACACTTTCTCAGTCACACCAATCACCTTTCCATTGCTCAGTACTAGGTGGTTAGGGGCTACTGTAGTGGAAAGCACAGACACAGAACGCTTGCATCTTACCACAGAAAGTTCTCTTGGACAGATCTGATAAATAGTATGCCTTTCTCCTTTTTCTTAGGAAAATGCATTTTACCTTTATAAAAAGGATATCTTTTTTTTTAAAGATTCATTTATTTATTCATGACAGACAGACAGAGAGAGAGAGAGGCAGAGACACAGGCAGAAGGAGAAGCAGGCCCCATGCAGGGAGCCCGACGTGGGACTGGATCCCGGGTCTTCATGATCACACCCCGGGCTGAAGGCGGTGCCCACCAGGGCTGCCCAGGATAGTTTTCTGAACATAATTTTAAACTTTTTTTTTTTTTGTGAAGACAGGAAGATTTATTAAAGTTTTATAAAACTATCTTTTAATTTGAGATAGTTGTCACAAAAATGAGTCCTTAAAACTCAGACTCGTTTCTTGGATGGCGAATGGTGAGGCTAGTCAGCGACTACCAAGAACTTGAATGAACATTCTTTACTTAGTTTGTGTTTTCAGAGCTGGAGTACTGCCTGTGACACAGAACACAGTGAAAGGGCTTTTCTGGTCTTTCTGCCTGTTTGTGACTTTCCAGGGGAACACATTTCTTGAAAGAACTCTGGGGATATTGGGATTTTCATCCCCAACTTGCTACTAGGTAGTGATGATTGTTGCTACCACGTTTCCTTTCATGGAAAGTTCTGTATAAACGTCTCATGTTGAGGAAAAATTTGTATACTGCCTTTGCCCTGATATTTCAAGAGCAAACCAAAAGAGGTACTAGCTTAACTAATGATCCATTTCTGCTGTTTTCTTCAGATCTGGGATAAATTATTACACTTCCCTCCCCTCAATTTAAGTGAAGACTGACAAATTCAGAGAGGTTTTTTTTTTTTTTTAATAAAATGTGTTTTAAAATAGTTTATTTTAATTTTCATTTGCGTATCTTAATAAATTCATTGTTCCCCATCCAAAAACATGCAATTAAAGTCTCTGACACAGAATAATTAAAAAGCTCTTTACAGATAGAGATATGGTCTTTATAACCCTAGAGCCTAGTTTGTTGCCTGAAGCTCACAGAGTGCCCCTTGAATGGTTCCTTTTTTCTTTCTTGGTCCCATCTGAGGTGCGTTGGCTGCCTACCTTCCTGAAACATCTGATAGGGCATTGCAGTCCACGAAACACAAACCCTGAACTGGATCAAGTTTTTTTTTTTACACACATACACATTAGATATATTTCCTACAATGTCATATTTGTTAGTTTAACACACCTTTATTGAGCTTCTGTTATGTGTGGGAACAGGTATCCTGGAGGGACTGAGATGCACAAGACATAGTGGCTGACTTTAAGGAGTTCACAGAAGCCTTGGTGCGGAAGATAGCGCACTGACAATGAAAACGTCCTGGTATAATGCTCTAATGGAGATGTACCATGGAATGAAAGAGGTGGGAGCCTCTCACATCAGTGGTAGGTGGTAGCAGAGAGGGAACAGGGAATTTAGGGCCTGAGCAGCTTTAAATGACTTTTTTTTTTCCATTAGGGAAATATTTTCTCTGTGGGTCTAACTGGATAATCTGTAATTATAATGGATTTAAGAGACTTAATATGTCGGTTTAAAATCTGTATCTTTGTGATGGTAATATTAACTAACATTCATTGACATATAAGTGAAGCAGGGTCCTCAGTATTTCAGGCACCAAAGGCTTACAACAGTCTTAACCAGGCTGGTGTAATAGTAATACCTTTCTTTCGTTATTGTGATATTTAGATAGGTTTGTGTTTTAGTCGTGTTAGTTGCTTTATATGATATTCTTAGTTCTCTGTTGATAGTAACTGTTAGTTCTCTTCAAGGAGCAAAGCTAAAATTGTATTTAAATCTTCTCTTCTCTCTTCCCCTTTTCCTTTTCCATTACCCAATCTCAGTCAATACTCAATAATATTTATTCACGATAGTGTTTGCATTTGTAATATTATATATGCTTGTACTTCTAGTACTTGATTTGTGAGCTTTAAGACAATCCATTGACTCCCAGCTGTTATATCAAAGTAGTCAGTAAGCTTATTATATTTCTGGCTCACTCTCTCTCAATTTTTTATTTGCATTTGTATGTTGTCAAGGCCTATAATATTTATGTTCTGTTTATCACCTTATCTCCTTCTGTGTTAGTCCTAATTCTTCAGTTAAAATATATATATAATGCTCACCCAGGCACTTTTACAGTTTTTTCTCAGTCATTCTTTGGTTGGCTGAAGGTCATTCTCTAGAAGTTTCTCAATAAGGAATCATGGGAATGATATGGCAATATTATTCTTACAAACAATATTATTCTTACAAAAAGTTTTAGAACTTCC